ATTCCATACATTTTCCTGATTACATGTTACAGAGCATAGTTTGATTACAACTCAGGCCAAATGTTATCCTGCCTGTTTTAAAACACTCAACTGAAAGTTTGATGAACGATGCTACCAAAGACCATTTGCCAAAGCTTCACCTTCTTTTTATTCATTCATATTTCATCTTGTTTACACCCAGAGCATGTGTCATCAAGCAGTTGGTAACTGCTGTTTATTGATGTTGCAAAAGGCAGCAAAAACTCCAATGGGACTATTGATTATTTCTTATCTCAAATGACTCTATTGGGGTTAAAGTAATCGGAAAATCCAAATATTGGTGTCCATGTAAATGAAGTCAATGATAAAATAATATGGCGGACACTGATATTTGTACAAACCTGCTCTTTTCTGCTGCTTTTTCCTCTTCTTGCCAGCAGCCAGGAGAGCCTGACCCTGCTGCAGAGGATCTACATGCAAGATATCCTTCAGATCCGGAGCTCTGGCTGCAGCCTCATTTGCGGGCACGTCATTCCTCAACCTCTGAGATTTTATCTCCACTGTCATAGGTCCAAACTTTTTTTGAACAGCAAGATTACCAGAAATAAAAGTGGGTTAGATGAACCAAATTTAACAATATATAAGAGGATAACATAGATTAAATTACATTATGCACATTCAGTAAACACTGAAGATGTAAAGGCAGCTTTATATCTCACCTCTGGGTCCTGGTCATCCTCCATAGATTCTGCTTCCTCCTTAAATTCTGGCTCCTCCATGGAAACTCTTTCCATTTCCAGGTCAGAAGGAGGTTCTCCCTGGCCACCCTGTGTCATCCCAGTGGTTTCCATGCAGAAGCCCATCTGAATGTCAGGACAAGAGGACTCTGAAACACAACAAAATCAAATCCAACCTTTGAGCAACTGCTCAACAACAATTGAGCCGCTGCATAAAAAGACCTGCTGTTGGACGCAGTCCACAGAACAGAAGCTGCAACACTGAACTGTTCACCTGTTTATTCAAATTACAGTGAAGCTTGACTCAGTACACAGAACCCTGAACTGAGAAAGCAGTTGTTTTTGCCATTGTAAACACACTGGTTTCATGGCGACAATGACACATTGATGAGTTCTAGCTGCCTCGGCTTCAGAGAGCTGGTTGTGTGTTTAATTAATTTTAATTAGTATTGAACGTTTCGTATGTTCACAATATATGTCAAGTGTGAAGCCACTAAGATGAAGGGTTCTCGAGACATGCAAGCCACATACAGACAGATTTGTATTTGCGCTGAAGTGTTTTAAAAAAAAAAAATTCCTACATATCACAAAATTAGCAATGAAAAAGGTTTAATGGTCAGTTCACAAACATGTTCTTATATCCAAGCACGCAGATTATTTCCTCTTAATAAGGATAACAAACTGTAAGATACTCAACAGTTTTTCCTAAAATTACTTTTTCACAAAGAAATCAATTCAAATCAAAGTAGAATGGTGATGTCTGCAGATTATCCAGAGTAAGCAGGATAATTGTTCACTACTATGATAATAGAGATTTGATTGTCGCCATTTTATATTGGGCTTTTTTGCTGACTTGACCAAACAGACACTTTAACTTACCAGCAAGAACCTCCTGATTTCCTTTTTCCAGCTCATCCCAGTCAAAAGCTTTACCCATCTCTGTAACAATCTCAGCGCTGACGTGTGTGGGGAGCGTGTGTGTGTCTGGAGGGTGTGTGAAGTAGCTGATCCTTCCCCTAAATAACACAACATGTGGAAATTTACAAATTGATCAAGTCGTCTGAAAGCTTGCACAATCCTTATTTTGAACCCACCCTGTCCAGTCCATTAATACACTCTTTGCTGCTTTATCAGTATCCGGCAGTCCTCCTTTCCTTAGTTTGCCTTGTCGTCGGGCAAGCAATGCCAAGAACTCCAGGGCTGTGTGAAAGTCTGGAACTCGGTAGTGCTCCATGATCTGTGCATCCGACAGAAATACCGTAACACTGCAGCGTGAAAATCACACATTCGAGCAACGTTCACAATGGTTGTAACCAAATGACACACCTGTGCTTTGTTGCAGCGTCGCAGGATGGCTTCAACAGGTGGAAGGGGATCCACGAGCTGTTCGATTTTCACGCAGTTACGAAGAATCATTGCTGCATCAGTCGTTGAAATTGCCATGACGATGCCAGGGCAATCTAGAAGCTTTATGTGTTTGTCCAGATGCACCTGTTGAAGGCACCTAAAATCATCAGAACCATCAGTAAAACAGGGAGGAGGCTCGCTGGGTTTTGCAGGAGAGCAGAATGAACCTCTTGATGTAAACTTACTTGGTGACACCTGGAGTGGCCCCGACATTACACGCTCGTGCCCGTTTCAGACTGTTAATCAAACTACTCTTTCCCACATTAGGAAAACCTACAAAAAAAGATTATGCAAATAATAATTTCACATTAGAGCACTTGACATCTTTAACTAGAAAAGCCAGCTGTATTGCTGGATGTGTTGCTTACCTACAACACCAACAGTGATGGCGGTCTTTATGTCCAGGTTGCGGCAGTAGTTTCCCAGTAGCTTCATTAAGCAGTCCGCGCCAACACAAGCACTGCTACTGAGGAGCTCTGTGGTGGCTTGGGTCACTGGAACATTACTGCGTTTCTGTCCATGTCAGGAGGAAAATAATTGTTTAGTCTTTGTTGTGAAATCATCTTATTCCATTACTTTTTAGCTTATCCAAACATAAAAATAGAATTCCATACCAAGTTCTTGTTTTGTTGCTGAGTAGATGCTTTGAAAGCCACAGTTGGAAACTCGTTACGTAGGTACTTTATCCACTTCTCCACTATTTCCTTTGACACCAGATCTGCAGTTAAAGAAAATACTTTAAAGTCACGCATCAATTATTTGACAAAATAAATATGATGACCAGGATCAGTGTTTCCCACAGAATGAATTTGATCTATGACAGTAACGGGGGTGCACACGCTCAAAGTTCACATATGGCGCTGCAAATAGCGCTGCATAAACCAGGTTAACAATCTCTTATTTTAAGATGTTAATATCTGTAAAAAAATATATTTTTTCTTAATTAGGATTCTGTTACAACAAATTACCATATGGTAGGCTGCTACAGTCTAGACAATTAATGGATTACACTGCTGGCATGTTGTCAAATTAAGTTTATTTAAACAATTAAGTCTTTTTAACTTACCAATTTTATTAAGGACTAAAACTATTTTCTTGTTTGTTCCACTTTGAATGACTGCCTGTTCCACCTGAGGACACCTGCAGCCAAGAGGGTCACGTGCATCCAAAACCTCCAAAATCACATCTGCAGCCTCGACAACCTTACAAAAAACAATTCCATGGTAACGCTTGTAAAAGTATAGTATTCATCAGATATGGACCAGTGGTATCATGCATGGACTGGCTGCATACCTTTTTAAATTCTCTGTAATATGCCTTTCTCGAATTCTCGTTCTCAAAATTAACATGCTTCTCCAAACTCTGCATCTCCATCTCCTGTGAACACAAAATAGAAAACACGAATCACTCCCACAACAAATTGCATTATATGCAGTGATTTTAATTGGCGCTGAATTTGCACCAAACAGGCTGACACTAACCCTCTGCTCAAAATCCCTCTGTCGCTGTAAGATGTCATGCTGAAAGCTTTGCAAATTCCTCCTCTTCATCAGCTCTCGTTCTCTGGACATTTTCTGCTTTTCTTGGAGGTCTTGGAGCTAATAAGCGAGGATCGATTCCAAGATTGGTTTACTTCAAGAAAACACCAGCAATGTCACCTCAAATATGAGTACACACATGACGTTTGAAGATTTTACCCGTTGCTTTCTGATTTCTTCTGGTTTTCTGTGGTGGTTGACATGTTGCACAGACGACTGCTCTGTAGTCTTTGTCCTGCCTGAAGTGTCACCCTTTTGTCCATCAGTGGCCTGTATACAAAAGAAGCCCAAATACAGTATGTTGTAAAATAATTACAAAAATAACAAAATTGTCAAAATAATTTATATTTTTATTTATCCCACCCAAACACACTATTATCCTGTTACTGTGCATCACCTGGGGCCACGTTAGAGAAAGAAAAGATAATATAGCATTTCAGGGGGGGTTTAGATTATTTGAGGGGGGAAATGTGCACTTGTTTTGATGCAGTCCCGAACTAAAATGCAGCAGACATCGTTGACAATTAGAAGAGAGGTCACATAAAGGTGTGAATTGAGATGGTCATTTTTTATACGATTAATTGTGCAGCCCAAGAACTTAGTGTTGAAAAAGATGCTTGGTATAATGATCTGTTTGTTGGTTTGTTTGATGTTAGAAGATTGCAATTATTGCAATGAAGAACACACAGACTACCATGACTCTTGTGGAAGGGAGTGGTATGAGTCAGGGGGGAAGAACACACAACAACAAACCAGGACACACAACAACAATAAACCAAGTCACACAACAATAAACCAAGACAAGACACACAACAACACAAACCAAGACAAGACACACAACAACAACAAACCAAGACAAGACACACAACAACAACAAACCAAGACACACAACAACACAAACCAAGACACACAACAACACAAACCAAGACAAGACATACAACAACAACAAACNAAGACACACAACAACACAAACCAAGACAAGACATACAACAACAACAAACCAAGACACACAACAACAACAAACCAAGACACACAACAACACAAACCCATAAGAAGTCATGACACACAGCAACAAAACACAACAACAAATCAAATGTGTGTGTGTGTGTGTGTGTGTGTGTGTTCACAGTAACATGGAGCTCTGGGGTGTGTGTTGTCCTGACACAGAGAAGTAGCCTGGCAGCCAGGCAGCACAGTTAGCATCAGACACATTAGCACATTAGCAGAGCTCACCTTCAACTTCCCCAGGAAGCCGAGACGCTTGGCTCGTTTCTGTTCTGTGAAACACAACAAACGACAAAGTGCGTTTACGATCACACACAGTTCAATGCAGAGCGGACACGTCTGCAACATATTCAACACATACTCGCTTTGGACATGTCGCCACCAGCCCCTCGTTCTCCCACTTCACGTGTTCCACAGCGTGGACGTGCGTGCGCAAAGATATTCACCCATAACATCCGGCTGAATGTCAAAATAAAAGTGCTTGTTTCCAGAAGCGAAGATGAGGATGAAGAACAGAGAGACACCAACATCTGCAGGATGTAATTCATTTAACGTGGGTGAGCGAGGCTTCTCTGATCTCAGACAACCGGTTAATGACTGTAGGGGTTAAATATATATGAAGGCTCAAGTGAAACAAACCGGGCGAAACGGCTCCATGCGTTTTGTGCACCGCAGGAAGGATAAACGCTTCACTTCCTGTGTCCGTAACGCAACGCCGAACCACGCCCACCTATCACGCAGACAGTCCAAGCCATCAAGTGCAGGCCACGTGGTGAAAATTTAACCTAAATCGAATTAAAGTGGTAAATCGAGGCATACTTCTTGTTGCCAGTAGGTGGCGCTATCACTACATAAGTATCTAATCGATCTGTCGAACGGTAAATAAATAAATGTCCATTTACAAAACAATGATTTACTTATAAACTTTAACACGAAAATACCACAGGAGCATTTTCCAAAATCTCAGGAAAACCAAAACAAACAAAAGACTGTGAGTATTGATATTAGTTTATATAGTTTATATATATATGTCTCATCCAGGTCATTAATTGTATCTTCAGAAGTTATACAAGTCAACATAGGCAAAAGGAAACACAAGCAAGTCCAGTTCCTACTACACTTGTACAACTTCTGCAGAGATGAGTTGGCTTGTGTTTTGTTAACATAAGATTGTTATTAAATAAGATATCAAATCTAAGTATTTATTATATGATAAATTACTAAGATGAATGAGTATCAACTTAGCCAGACGTTTAGCCAGTCTAGACATTTAACAATCTGCCATGATTATTAAACAACTAATCTACTAATTCCACAAATGTGAGTGTGAACTCTGGTCTCAAGATTGTGTGGAGAAAGCTACAATCAGTATTACCACAGGCCAAGCAAACCATGCACTGATGGGAAATACTGTATCTCAATTAATAGTGTAGATATTTGTTATTTGTATATTTTTGTGTTATAAATGCATGGTCTAAAGGTCGTGGTGCAAGTGCATTTAGGGCATTTCCAAGTCCACCTTGATAAATGATGGGAAAAAAGGTTGATGCCCCTTGTGTAGTTCATAAGTGTTATACTTTGTCTCTAAATTATTGATTGTTTTGGGGCTTCACATCCAATAAACAAGTGTGCCATCTCTCATTCTATTTGTGAGCCAGGTGCGCTTGCACTTAGGCAGACTGTTATTATAAGGGCAGATTTGCCAGATACAGTAGTAAGAAAGAACAAGTCTGTAGAGGAAATAATTTAATTTGTGTGTGTGTTACGTTAAGTGCACTTACGTTCCCACACCTGCCTCTGTTGGTGTATAGTCCTATCTTTGTAAGGCATCCTGAAAACATTGAGGTAAAAACATCAACCACACCTACTTCCCCTCAAGAGACAGCAGAGGTGTGCAATTTCACATTCTCCACATTTTTATCCTCTGATCGATGCTGTGGGTGGAATGTTCACATTGCTTTATCTGAAAATGCAGCATGTATGAGCTAATACTTGTGCAGTCTGATCAACTGGAAGTTAATAAAAGACATCTATTGTATTACAGTCACTCTTGACTCTAGGAATGCTCTCATTAAGTCAAACATTTCTCTCTGGCTGTTGTTTTGCTACACTCCTGCTGTGGCAGAAGTGTGTGGGAATTTGTCCATATCCACATTTTTCTGCTTATCCTGAGCTGAGGTATGTGTCGGGTGAAGGTGCTGATTTTCCTCACTTTTATCGTGTGTGCTGAAATTGTCAAACAAAACCTGGGCATGGTGCTTTTACAAAACACTGCCTTCTTCAGACTCTGAGCGATGTAAACGCATTGCTTTTAGGGCGACAATTCGATATAACTTTCTCATCCCCAACATGTTTGTCTGTCAGTGGGTTTGTTATTTAGAGTAAACTATCAAGATAAGATCATTTGATGAAATGCTCTAAACAATGGTGATTAATACAGAGACAGAAATGACTTTGACTTTGGCTTCATAGTCTCAGAAAAACTGGACTCTCAGAGTAAATACCTCATTCAGTCACTGTATGGCTTTGCCACCATACATGTTCGAAACCCTCTGCAGTTCTATTGTAGAAAGTTTGCTAACATACACAACTGGTCCAAAACCCACATTTTTTACAGTAATGTATCTTACTAAACAGTTATAAGTGCAGTAATGAGGAAAATGTTAAACAACCTTTGGACAACTAATTATATGAATCAACAGATGGAAAACTTTCAATATGCATTTATTTTTTATGTTCATCTGAAAAAAATAAACAGTGACATGATAATTAATTTACTTTATGAATATTTTTTGGTATTTTCATTTGCCAGATAGCTATTTACTAAAAAAGACAAATAAATGAAACATAACATATTTACTGTACATAACACAATGGTTCTTAGTTATTTTTTCAAATTAGAGAACATGGAGGTTTATGCAGGTGCCACAGAGGAGACCTCTGTCTTTGATGTGGATACTTCAGAACCATCATCCACTTCTTTGCCAAAGAGTTGCATGATGCATGTGCGGAACTGATGGGAAGAGAACAAAATCATTTGTGTATAAAATGTCAATCAAAACACATTAGGGGAATGGAAAGCTGGTTAATGTGGCATCTTAATTGTTGTGCTCACCTGTCGGTTCATGAAAACATAGATGACTGGGTTGTAAATGGTGGCGCTCTTAGCAAAGTATGCAGGCATGGCAGCAGCCAGAGGGTGGAAGGCATATCCAGGGTTAGCTGCAGCAAAGCAGGCAAAGGCTGTATACGGTCCCCAGCAGACACAATATGCCAGGATCATGACCACAACCATTCTGGACACTTCTTTCTCAGCTTTCTGGGTTGACTCTGATTCCTTCTGCTGCATGGCAACCTATTATCAACACATCAATGCAGTGTGAGAATCGGCCAGGCTGTGAAATACTTTAATTTATTTATCAAACTGCAGGTAACCTACAGAATGGATGGCCCACCAGACAGCAAGGTAGCACAAGATGATAATAGACAGGGGAAGGAAACAGCATGTAATCATAAGAACAATCATGTAGGACTGGACTCCAGGGTCTTCACTTCCACTAAATACATCAGGTCCACAGGAAGTCTTCAGTCCATGAGGCCAGTACCTGACACAAAAGAAATTCTTAAATTGATGTTCCCATTGATGAATTAAAAACTGTGTTTTAATTTAAAAAAAAAACTGCAGGGTACCTGCTCCAGCCAAAGATTGGGGGAGCACACCACACTGCTGCCCAGATCCAGGAGAACAAAATTCCACCTGTGGCCCATTTGGCATCAAACTTGACATTTCCAAAAGGTTTGCACACAACTACCCATCTCTCCCAGGAGATAATGGACAGGGACCAGAGAGCAGCAATTCCTGAGGAAAGATGAGGGTTAATCAGAAATCAGAATCCATCGTTAAGAAACTGTTTCCAATCATTTTAATCCAATACAGAGAAAAAATATGAACGCTCACCACACACTGAGACAGTATAGCCCTCAAAGACGCACATTGGGTGTCCCAGAATAAAGTAGCCAAAAAACTGGTTGCATACACTAATGGTGCTGGCAAAAACTGTCTCTCCAAGATCAGCGATTGCAAGATTGACCAAGATCCAGTTCAGTGGGTGACGGAGTTTCTTGAACTTAGCTGTGGCCACCAAGACAAGACCGTTGGTGAAGACTGATGCAACGACCACAAAAAACATCCAGAGGGTTGCTAAGTTGTAAACCCATCGAGGAGCAATGTGGTAATTGGGACCCTCAAAGGGATCTGGGGAAAAAATTGAATCATTAAGAATCTCATATCTTCTCTCAAGTACACATTGTTATTTTTAGCATTTTTATGTATAGTATTCATTTACTCAATTTTAGATAGATTGCATCAAATTATGTAAATAACACAATTTATCTAGTCACTGAAATAAAATAAGTAAATTTTCATCTAATTTTTGACCAGTGTTGTGTATTAATATATTCCTCATCATCTAACTCTTAAAATATACAACAATTCTAGCTGAGTCATATTCATTACATTTGAGTCATACAACAGAGCTGCATTTCTTCACACTTGCCTTGTTTAATTGCTAATAATTATATTCAAAATAATGTCAATCATCATCACTTTAGAGATATCCTTTAAATCATACCTCAAACATCAGTCAATGAATGCATATTTTAAATAATTTCCAAATGTATAATTTCAGCTATACTGACTTTGGAAATTACATCAAGTCAAAGGCATGCCTTAATTACTAGTCAATTCAATACAGTGTTGAATCATTACAACATCAAGAAGCTATTTTGTTCCGGGTGGATGTTGTTATTGTTGTTCTTTCTTGTAATCCCATCCTCATACAAATAACATTCAAATTCAAATTATTCAGAAAATATACTGATAATACTGTACCTCTGGTATTGTTGCTGTTTGTGTATACAAAGGCTGATCCCCTTGTCGTATCTTCATGGTACCGTCTGGCAGCAAACACCTGTTTTCCCCACTCTTCTGCCATTTTGTTCTTAGCAGGAGGGCCCTCAACAGTCAGCCTTTCTTGTCACTTGCAACCTCCTCGGGTGACTGGTTCCACACATCTGACTTAAGTTTTTATACTTATGGTTCAGAGACCTCTGATAGGATTAGGTCAATCAAATTACAGCTGTGGTGTGCCGCTTAGTAGTGATACTTGGTAGCAATGCAGTTAACGTATTTTGAACTGTAATTAAAACTCAGCCAAATGAGGTAATTGGATTAAGACACAAAATGACAGAATAATCTGATTTGGAAGCGGATTTCCCTCCACTCAGTCAAAGTTAAGATTAGTGGCAAGAACTTTTGAGTGTCCCACAATGTAAAGTTTGTGCCATTTTTCTTCACTGAGTCATACAGTGTTACTTACAACTAGAGCAATAATGAATTAAAGAGCTATTAACGCAGCACTACACTTGTGTCTCAAATTATAATTTTAGCTTTAGAGCAAATGTTTATCTTCCTTTACTTTTGGATGCAGGGGAATAATTAGATGTCATGACACTATGAACCGCACCCATTTTATGCTAATAAATTAATCTGGGAAATGAAAAAAACTCCGGAGAATTGTGCACATTCACCTTACATGTTGTGTATGACATTGATGGGTATACAGTACATGTGGATCACTGTGGGCATGAGAGGACAGCCAAGTCTTAAAGCAGCTTACGTGGACAAGTGGAGATCCACGGAA